TTGATCAATGAATTCCTTACCTAAATAATTATTGCTTTCATAAAACGTCTCTGTTTGCTACTGACAGAGAGGGAACTGAACCCGTAGGTCCTGCAGTAGCCTTTAAATAACCAAGGAGAGCGATCAAAATAAAAATAAATCTTGACCAGATTTATAGGTACACCTTGATTAGTTCTTGTTTTCGCCTTCAAATAAGCAATACCTGAAAAAAATGAAAGGGAATGTTGAGACCAGATATCATGTAATAGATGGGTTTTCTCTGACATTCACTATGGTATAATGCTGAAAAAATAATGCTGGCCCATCATTCCTGATGCTTACCAGTTAAGTAGAGTGGAGAGAGAGACAAAGGGGGTTTTTCAGGACGCTGAACTGTATGGACACTTGCATTTGAACAAATTATCATCCGTTTAGCTCTACTTCTCCAAGTTTTGTTATGGAGTAGCATTTTGTTATTTTTTCTGAAGACACTATTTTTGTCTTTTGGCCTCAACTGGTAACAATTTTTTGACTGAAAAATTGTAATGTTGAAGCCAAATGTGGTTCATTCAGATACAGTTCTGTTGCTGGCTAATGAAAAAACAGATCTTCTAATAATTTAATTATGCAAAATGTGCTACAAAGGTAACTGTTTACCCGTGAAGCTATCACTTCCCTTTCCAGGCCCACCAGCATTCAGCTTACCAAAGTGAAAGGCCTCAATCAGTAGACATGCCAGCCAATAAAGCTAAGGAATTATTTTTTTCAAAACAGTAAAACTCTCGTTTGTCTATAAACTACCTTTTTAATGAAACCTTCTTCGTTTCCCTCAGGCAACACTTTATCTAGGATGGATGTGGCTACCTGAATAAAAATACCTGTTAAGAGAAAGACAGTTCCCATCAAAGCTGCTGAAATCTGATTTCATTTCAGATTCTAGAACTAATGTTGTTTTTTGTTTAAATAGATTTTGTCTGTCAATTTCCAGACCTGCTGTGCCATCAGCCTGTATGGACTGCTGTGGTCAACACGGGGGTTGTAGCAGCAAATTTTATTATGGACTGGTAATTGAATTGAACAGGTTTACATTTGAATAGATTTACTGCATCATGATCTCTGACATACTGCATGGGACTGAAATCCCTCTCCATCCATAAAGATACATTTAAGACGGTATCATTCTCTCCAGGCTCAGAAAAAAAGTCTTGAGCCAAGGAGATGGCCAAACATAATTGTCCATTTATATGCAGGGTGTAATGCAATATTTCACTGCATTTTTTAAGTATAAAAGAAAAAAGAATAGTCCTTATTTACTCCCAACCATCCCATCCTTTCTATCTGGGGGGATGGTGCATTACAGAGCTGATGTTATGCCATCAAAGTGGGCATTAAAAATAAAGGAAAATAAATTATTTTTTGACTGTATCAGCAATTCTCTTGAAAACAGGTCCTCTAAAGGGTCGGTATCAGCAACTGAAGAGGTGTACATCACAGTTAAGCACCTCCCACTTACTTTCACACACAATGTTTAATTAAACCCAGTTCACCCTTCTTCACACTCTCACCGCCCTTCAGGGCTGCTCTTGCCTGAAACCACAATGGGAAAAATTATTTAGGAGAAAACAGATTTTTTTTTTTTCATCCTCCTTAAACTTGGACAAATAATTAAGTAAATTATAGTAGTAAAATCAAAGTAACCAAAAAATTCTGTCTTCTTAGACATGGAGAGATGTCTTCCACGTACTTTTCAGTTTTTGAAAGTAAAATATAAATCTGGGGCACATCAATGCCATGTATCCATTCATATGTTACTCTTAGAAGATTGTGATTTGCTCTTTGGAATAATTCCTCAGTCTTCAAGGTTTGACATTGCTCTTCCTTACAAGCCTTTTTGGATGGGAGCATAAGTTTCATTTGCTTCTATATCGCCCAAGTCAGTGATGGTATTTAATGTAATGAAGACCAAACGTGGACCATCACCCAGCTGATCACTAAGTCTTTAAAAACTCTCTGTTGCTCTGCCACAGGGTTTAGGGCAATGACTGAGATAAGGGTTCCTCCTCATAAAAGTAAGCGACCACCCTCACCCTAACTAGATGGAAAACCTTTTTTCATGTGGGCGGGTGGCTGTTATTGGATTTTTATTTATGTGTTTTCCATCATCAAAATTGTTCTTTGGCAATCCTGCATAAGTTAGGAAGAACGACCATGTCTTTCTTTTTTCACTGCTATCACTGGACCCTGGAATACAGCTTTGCACACAGGAGGACCTTAATAAATAATCAGCTAAGGGAATATAAATGTAAAACACGGTAACTGTGAAAAATCCTAACAGTGTGCTTGGCGCCTGTGGTTCAAGCGGCTAAGGCGCCAGCCACATATACCTAAGGTGGCGGGTTTGAATCCAGCCTGGGCCCACCAAACAACAATGATGGCTGCAACCAAAAAATAGCCAGGCGTTGTGGCAGGCGCCTGTGGTCCCAGCTACTTGGGAGGCTGAGGTAGGAGACTCGCTTGAGCCCAGGAGTTGGAGGTTGCTGTGAGCAGTGAAGCCACGGCACGCCACCCAAGGGGACAGCTTGAGCCTCTGTCTCAAAAAAAAAAAAAAAAAGTCCTAACAGTGCTAAAGGCTGTCAGGGTACAAAGGACCCCACCCTCATGTTATTCACTAGTGTGACAGTTACCAGTCTTTGGGCATCTCCGTTCTACCTCACCACGCATATAGCTTCACAGGACCAACTGCCTACCAGTGGATTCTTCCTACCCATCTATCTACACACACACATACAAATTGAATCATGCTGCTGAAAACCCTGCTTTTTACGTATACAGTTTTCACTTGGCAATGTGTCTCTATCATCTTTTCATCAAGTTTTATTGTCTACTTCGGTGTTTATATCTCCTTTTCAAGGAAAGAGCCAAGAGGAAGACCAGGAGAAGAATTTGAGCGGGTCTTCCTTGTTCCTAGCGGACAAGTAAAAGGCAGAGAAATGCAGCATGAATTCCATAGGTCTGAATATGAACTACAACATTTTGTAAAAATCTTAGAATAAGAACAAACCAGAGAAGACTGTGAGACCTAGTAAGGCCATATGCCCTAGAAACTGGGGTTCACGCTTGGTGAAGGTATTCTTGAGTCTATGTGGATTTAAAAGTTAAAAAATAGGAGATCTCCAGTGACAACCAAACATATAATCTAACAGGGCAAATTTCAAGAACAAAGCATATTTCTATGATGCAACAACAGCTACACACTTAAATAGTGAACCTGATTTTCTACTGAATTTTCATTACCAACTTTTCCTTACTTTATAAAACTATTTTAAATTCTGAAGAATCTTCTGAAGAGAAGGAAACAAAAATCTAAATGGATTATGTAAAATGCACATTTACAAAAAAAAACACATGCTCATAAATACAGTTAAAAAAAATAAATAAATGGTAAGGCCTCACAAACAAAATATTTCCCCATCTCCACGCCGAAATGTTAGTTTCACTAGAAATGTTGAAATGTAAAAATATTTCAGGACCCTTCCCACTCATGGAATAGCTGAATGACGTCTGGAATCGGTGGGTCCAGTTCCTGGCCCTTCCATTTATTAACTGTGTGAGCTCAGGCAACACACAGAATAGTGCAGAATACACGGTCACTGTTATTATTTATATCTGTGTTTGTTGTTATCCCCTACGGAAAGCAAATGGAGAGCAATTTTAATATCACCTTGCGGGTTCTTTATAATAGAAAATACACCTAAAAAGTAAGACTGGAAAATAATAAAGAGTACTTTAAACCCAAGATTAATTGAGAGGAAAAAAAATATCAACTCCGTGAACCACGTAATGAGAAGAAAAACAAAAAGTCAATCCAATAGGTTTTCAGTTTGTCTTCACTTTACCTGCTTCAAGTTGTAAAGATAAAAAGACCCAGACTGCCAAGCATACCTGGTGGGTTTAGCTGCACATCAGGCGTGTCCTGCCTTGACCCTTCCTGGAGATGGGAAGCAGGTAGCCAGGAGGTAGCAGAAAGTTCAGGTGTAAAGAAAGAGATACTCTGCCATCAGATTCAGGGTACTCAGTGTTACCCCTTCTTTTTTCTGGCTTCTCTAAAATTGGTGTAATTCATGTCCCCGGAGGAAAGTAAAACTCAATGGAAATCAGGTGGGGGGAAGGGCGTGAAAACCAGGTACCACGTGAGGACTGTGAATGTTACTGGGGTGAAACTGGGACTCAAGCATGACAAAAGTGATGCACGTAACCTAAAACATCTGTACCCTCTTAAGATTTTAAAATTAAAAACATAAATAAATAAAATAAAAAAGGGCAGCCACCAAGAATGAAGTACTGACAGACAGTCTGACATGGATGAATCTTGAAAACATGGTAAGTGGAAGGAAGCACAGCCTCTCACCCAGGCCACACACTGTAGGATTCCACAGATGGGAAATGCTCAGAAGAGCCAGATCCGTGAGACAGAGAGTGGACCAGGAGTTGCTGGGGGTGAAGGAGGTGGGCCTGGGGAGCGACTGCTAAGGGATGTGAAATCCCTTTTGGGGGGTGATGAAAATGTCCTGACTGTGAGTAGGAGTGATGGTTCCACTCTTGTGTGTTCCCTGAAAAAGCACCGAATTGTACGCTTAAAAATGGTAATTTTATGATCTATGAAATATATCTCAGTAAAGGTGTTCTTAAATAATAATAAATTATTTTGAGAGATTCCTAATAAAATGTTGTATATCAATATGTTGAGATAGAGAAGTCAAAATTGAATTAGGCAGTGACAAAGTGCTGAAGTTTTATTTTAAAAAAATAAATCAATAAAAATAAAATAAAATGGGAGCAACCCCGGGCCCCCTCCCCTCTACACCAGGCCCATAGCATAGGGACAGCAAAGTGCCTT